TTTGGACTGACTGGTTGACATGGGTCGGCCGCAGGGCACTGGCTAACATGATGGGTCGGGCTTGCACAAATGGAACATGTTGAATAGGATGACAAGGTTGGGTATGGGCCACTTTGTTGACGACGTTTAAGGACTTGGTCAAGTCTTTGGGCCATCTCATTAATGTTGTCCAGTTGTCGAGACACGTGGTTTCAATTTATCTGTGGCTCAGGTTGGAAGTAGTTTCTCATTCCATAAACTCTGGCTGTTGAATTCATTTTGTTTTAACCCCCCCTTTTTTGTTGGAATTTGAATTTGAATTTCAAATTTAGATTTTGAAATTTAAATTCTAAAATTTAAACTCAAATTTGATTTTTTTTTTCTTTTTATGTTTTATTTTTTATTTTCTCTTTTTTTCTTTAAATTCAAAATTTAAATTTTTAAAATTTAAATTCAAATTCAGATTTTGAAATTTAAATTCCTAAAATTTAAATTCAAATTTGAATTTTTAAACTTTCAAAGAAAAAAAATGCAAACAAATTGACCACACGACCTAGGGTTTCCTAAACTAGTGGTTCAACAAATGCAAATCCTCTTAGGTTCAATTGGAATTACGCCACTTCCTTTGGGTAGCCAGGTAAGAGGTGGGGATGTGGGAGGCTCTCCTTACTCTTGCAAGGACCTAATTAAATAACCACAAAACCCACTTTGGCGTAGCCGTTTAACTTCTTTCCTTAAACACCAACCGCCGGTTATGGAAAGTAATTACAAGCTTTCTTAAAATTCAGCACACCTTTCAACCAAATGTGAGGCTTCCCTAAAGGATGTTGCTATCCAAATTTTAAATTAGGGTTAGGGTAAATCGCACATGAAGGGTGATGATTTTTGGGCCAAGGAATGGTGATGAAATCTCCACCTTATCTTATTTAAGTTGGATGCCCTTAAAATGGATTAACAGAAAGACAAAATAAACACAAAATGAATGCAACTAACTACAATGCATGAAAAATTATTTCTAAAATGCATTTTAGCAATATAATATAAAAGAATAAAATAAACTAAGCACAAGAAGCAATTAAAATAAAAAGAAACCTAGCACATTCACAACTAACAAAATAATTTCAGCAATTAAATAAACCTATAGGATGCAAAATAAACCTAGCACATTTCCTCTTTAACAATTAATTATTCAATTAAAGCACTAATAAAAAGGAATTTAAATAAGGCAACAAATAATTATAACAAGCAAAAAATAAAAGAAATAACTATGCTAACAAGATTAACAACTACCAAAATAAATTCTAACAAGAAAATTGCTATTCTAAAAATTAAACTGAAAATAAAATAAACAAAAGAAAATTATGCGGCTAAAAATAAAATAAAATAAGATACACGAAATTTTTTTTGAAATAAAAGAAAAACACAAACCTAATAAGATAGAAATTCGAACAAGAAATTAAAATAAAGAAAGAAAAATAGATCTAGAAATAAAACTGAAGAAAAAAAGAATACAAAAAAAAATAAATCGGATCTAGGAAAAAATAATTAAAAATTCAAAAATCACTACACCTGAAATGCAATCCAATTTCTCTTCTCTTCTCTTCTGTTTCCCAGTCTTGCAATGCTTCGGTGCCCCACCTTTTGCTATTTCGTCCTGCAAAATCATAGAGAAGTAAGAATTAAACTGAGATAATGAATCAAGTAATAAAATGAAAAATAAAAAATAATGAAACAGATCCGGATAAAGCAAATAAAAATTTTTCTCCGTACTTCCCCGGCAACGGCGCCAAAAACCTTGTGTGTCTGGAAGCACGTCGTTAATCATTTTGAAACACCAGTTTAAACATTTATAATTTTTACCGTTTCTCAAACAACTACTAACGTAGTAAATGGGTGAGAATGGGTCGTATCCACAGGGAAGCAAGTGAAAAATTAATATATACTTAGATCCAAACAAGAGAATGCAATTGGGAATGACAGAAAATACGAAAATAAAATATATTATTGCTGAAATTAAATGTTTCGAATTTAAAGAAGTCAATAAATAAAAATCAGAATTTAATAAAGTATGGGAATCAACCAAGGAAATAAAAGAAATAAACAAAGTTGATTCAGAATTCGGATCCAGTGGCAGTAGCTGCAGATCGGCCAGATAGCTTGCAGTAACCCCTCCTGACAAGAACCGGGCGTTCTTCCTTTCTATAACCCTCAAACCCCTCGAGACACCTTAGCCTTGAACCGGAGGAAATCAGATCTGCAAAACAGAGAAACAAACAAGAATTAAGTCCAAAAGATTGCAGAAATAAAAATAACAGAAAATAAAGTAAAGAAAAGAAAATAATGGTTGATCAGATCCAATGGCAGTAGTTGTAGAATGGTTGAACAGTTTGTAGGAACCCCATTAACAAGAACTGGGCATCCCCCCCCCCCTTTCTACAACCCTTGAACTCCTCAAAAAACCTTAGCCTTATTAACTGGGTGAATTGACCAAACCTTCTCCAGGGCCCTTAGGGTACTTTTTATAGAGAATGGTGGCTATAACTGGAATTAGAGAGAAAGAGGGGGGCAGTAGCTAGGTTTTAGCAAAAATATGGGTGCCCTAGGGTTTAGAATGAAGGGTTAGGATGGTTATAATGTGATCCTAAGGCTGAGAAGAAAAGGAGAAGACACCCAATATTATGTAAGGCTGAGATTTAATGGCTAAATGTTGAATGGTGAAGATTATAAGTTAGGTGGCTCCTAGGGTTAGAATGCTAAAAAGAGAGTGCCCTACAATGGATGGTGGAGATTAGAAGGGATGGAAGGTGAGGATTTAGCAATTAGGGGCGACTAGGGTTTGTTAAGAGTGAAAAGAATGGGTTAAAAGGCGCCCTAGGATTTGCTAAGGCGTGGGGAGCATGCTAATACAAATTCAGTAGGACGGGTGCCAAACTGGGTTTAGTAGCTAGGAGGTGCCCTCCTGTTTTCAGTTTTTCACAAAAAGCCCCTTCTCTCAGCTAGACTTCACACCAGTTTCCCAAAATCTGCATTTTAGCCATGAAAACTTCCTAGTTTTTCCTAGAATTTGCAAAGAGGCCCTTAGAGGCCACAACATTGCATTTAACTGAGAAAATGGCACATCTTGACTTTTCTAAGACCAAAAATACCCCTGAACTGATGCTCTTCAGGCATCAAAATGCAGAGTTATTAGCAACCTTGCAAACAGATCTGACGAGATTCATCCGAGATGAATTGAGATCGGCATAGCTGCTTAGTCTGTTGGCCATCAACTCCCGCGAGAACCACAAAGCGCTCGACCTGCGGGGGCAGTCTTACTCCGAGGTGCCTATCGCCGGACTACTAGTTGTCGATGTCATTTTGCTGTTGATTATTTTGCAGTGGCATGCATGCACTAAACTTCTCCTCCCATGCCCACACCTGGAGATTCTTGCTTCAGCTCATAAAACTACCACGCTTCAATCCCGGTGGGAACCACTGATGGCTCTACCGTGGGGAGAGGGGCATTCACATGAGGTAGCGATGTGCTTATCTGGGGTAATGGGAGTGTTGGGTTCGGCACGGTTGCTACTCTAGGAAGTGCTAGGGGCACTGAACTTACTTAATTGTCATAGAGGGGTTCTCAAGGTTCATCACGGATGCTCTTGTCCCCAGTAACTGATACTTCGTTCTTGATGTTGGTGCTGCTCAAAAATGTCATTGAGTTGATAAAGGTGAAAATTAGAAGGTGAGAACTTAGCTTTTTGTTGTGTTTCCCACAAATGATGACAATTGATGGTGCACAATCTAGTCGCTCCTAATGGCACATCGAATGTTAGTTGCTTATTTGGCGAGTTAAACTTTAAAAAGGGGAAAACTCAGAGAACCCGGGGTGGCTAACCCGGCATGGTCACTCCAATGCTTAAGTTAGTATGTTGGTTATGTTGTGAGCTGAAAGGTTGTGAATATGAGAGCTAATAAGCAAGTAATCGCGTGTACCTTGTGTCATTGGAGTTGGTGCCTTTATATAGGCATTGTTTGGCGTGGGCTTCACGCTTTATGTCCGAGGTCTCCGGGAAGACGTGCCTAACCGGTCTGAAGTCCTTAGAGGTGGTCGTGCACGTAGACCAGTCTTTGCACCTTGTTCGGTTTCCTCCGGAACATTCGGGGTGGGGGCCAACTTCCCAGAAACCTGGGAGTGACAGGATATGCATGCAGAATTGGTTGGCGAGCACATCTCGCAGTTCGCCACCTAGACCTCAATTAAATCGGTAAGCCCTCGAGGGAGGTCGTTACTCATCAAAGTCACTTCGACCGTACTGATGAAGTACCACAAGTCAGCCTTGGACGAAGTGCTGCAAGCCGCCTTAAGTTGCTGATGAGATCGCCAGATAGATTTCCACCAAGTCAATGAAGGCATGTCACCATGTCAGACTCCATCACTTTGGTTAAGACAAGTCAACGCCTAAGTGGTATCAGGGTCTCATCCGATTGTTCTGATATGCCATTTGTCATGATATCATGGAGGGCCAAATCCGCCCTTATCAGTGACCATTCAAGAATGGCTTTTAAATGCTAGGGGATTTCTAAGTATCAACCTCCGACCATCTGTTTTATTAATATTGGGCAGTTGGGCACCACTAGGCCATGGTGAAGTAGGTATCTATCACAAGGACATTTACCTAATTTTCCCCTGTATGTTGAATTTGATAATGTGTACTTCATAATCATTTAATTTCTCATTCGTTAATTTGTTCTTTAGGCAGCGTTTGGGAAGAATACAAATACAAATATGTCGGTTTAGAAAAATTGATAATTTTGTATTCTTGCCATTTGTGATATGTACACGAGACTGGAACCCACCTTTTTTACATTGAACAACTTGAGTTTAAATACGTCTTTAGATCCGTTTTTGCAGTCATTAACAATACACAAAAACATTCTTACCAAACACTAAACTGAACCAGAGTGCATATATATGCACTGAACGGGCATTTGCACTCTTCCCAAATTCAGCCTTACTTTTTAGTTAGTTGTTGGGTTTACTACCAATAATCTCTGCATGAACATCTTCCCTCCTTGAAGAAATGGAACCGACGTGAATCTCTAAGTAGAATCTCTCTTCCCTCCACCTGAGAAACATATTTCATCCAATTATGACAATCTCCACATATTCGTATGTTCTTGATAACCCTGATCACACGCTTGCTTCTCGGCCCACTCTGCAACAGACCAAATGACACAGCCAGCTTTTCGCTGTGATAACTGATGATTGCCTCCTTCTGTGTCTCCTCCACGTCATGAAGCACATACTCTGTCATTGGGACATAGCCTGTTGCTCTACACCTTTTGTCCAATTCCTCCAGCTTCTCATAAATTTCTTTCCTCCATGGGTGAGATACATCTCCAGCAGCAAAGAGATGTCTCCTGTTCCCAGCATCTATCCAGCTACACCCAACTTCTTTCGTCAATCCTTTCTCTTTCATCCACTTTCTCACAATTGCTACATCTTCCCACATGCCTGAGCTGGCATAAAGATTCGAAAGAAGAATATGGATTGTCTCATTTTCAGGTTCTAACTCAAGGATTCTTCTTGCAATATGTATACCAAGTTTGAGTTGCTTCTGTGCATGACAAGACCCAAGTAATACTTTCCACAGGCTCAATGTATCAGCACAGTCGGGATTCAAAAAATTAGCAGCCTCTACGAACTTCGCAGCACTTTCAAACTGTCCTGAACGTGAAAATAGGTCAATCATGCAAGCATAATGCTCAAGAGTTGGGTTTAGATCATGCTCCTCTCTCATGGACCTGAAATAGTATGTTCCTTCTTCTATTAGACCTGCATGAGCACAAGCAGTTAGCAGTCCAAGGAAAGTTACAGGGTTGGGCTTGAAACCATCTTGTTTCATCTTGTCATAGTGCTGGAGAGATTCATAAGCCATGCCATGGTATGCATATCCTGAGATAATGGCTGTCCAGGAGAAGATATCTCTCTTTGTCATCCTTGAAAATACCTGGGCTGCATCAGTGATGCTTCCACATTTTGAATACATGGAAATCAAGGCATTATTGATTGATAACAGAGAAGTTTGGTAAGTATAATGATGGTGGTGGTAGTATTTTATGATGAAAGCATGAAACTGTTTTCCCATTTCGAGGGAAACCAATCTGCCACAGACTGTAAGAAGAATTGAAAAGGCCAAATGATCTGCAGGCAAGCCTTGGTCATGCATATTGAGAAAGACCATGATAGCATCATTGCATCGACCATTGATAGAATAACCATCCATCATTGCATTCCAAGAGTAAGCATCTTTTGCGCTCATCCTGTTGAAAATCTTCTCTGCATCTTCCACCCCGCTGCAGTTGGCATACAATTTGAGGAGGGCATTACAAGTTGAGACACTGCTTCCTAACGGTGAAGTCTTCTTCAATAGATACCCATGAATTCCCCTGCCCTGTCTCAAATACTTTGAATTCGATGAGTCTGATGAAGCTGCATCAAGAATAACAGTGAAACTGTAATCATCTGGCTCTATTCCTGAAGACAGCATCCTATTAAAGAGTTCAAAGCAGCTTTCCCATTCTTCATTTTGTTCATATCCTGCAAGCAAAGAATTCCATGTGATCACGTCCTTGAAAGGTAATCTCTCAAAAACAACCCTTGCTTTGCATACTTCTCCACACTTCGAGTACATGGTGATAAGGGAATTTGCTATGCTTGTTTCCTGCTCCAGCCCCGACCTGAAAATATGACCATGGATCTGTCTTCCGTAATTTAAAGCTGAAACCCCAGAAATTGCACTAAGAACACTAAGAAAGGTTACCCGATTTGGTTTCGCCTTTGGTCCAAACATGAGCATCCTATGAAATAAATCTATAGCAGTCTCGTTTTCACTGTTCTGTTCATTCCCTGCAATAATTGCATTCCATGAAACGACATCCTTCCTAGTTATCTTCTCAAACAACCTGTTTGCACATGCCAAATTCTCTGTTTTCGCATAGAAAGTGACTAGAGAATTTCCCATTATAGTCGCATCAATCAATCCACCCTTGACGATCCTTCCATGCAAAGTCTTCCCATAATTAACTGCTCCCACCAAACCACAAGCATTTAGCAAAATAGCGTAGGTGTGCTCTGTAGGGGCAACCAGTCCAGCCGAGAGCACATGGACGAACAAGTGAAACGCTTCAACCCAATGTTCATGTAAGATATATGCACTCAGAATTGAATTCAAAACCAAGACATCATCTAGAGAGGAGTCATTGACCTCGTTGAAAGCCCGTTGAGCCTCATTTAGGAAACCACAATTTGAATACATGGTTATGAGGGAAGCTCGGATGATGCCGTCTAACAAAAAACCGGCCCGTATCAACCACCCATGAAGTTGCCTACCAATACCAATCTCCGCCGGACTAGAGGTTGCCTTCAGGAGACTTCGCAGTGCGTAACTGTTGGGCCTAATTCCTTCCTCGGCCATCTCCACAAACAAAAGCAACCCTCTTAATAAATTTCCAGAGTAAGCATATGAGGCAATAATAGTCGACCAAGACACCTCATTTAGATGGGGCATTTCATCAAAGACTCTTTGTGCCTCGTCTAATCTATCGTGTTTACCGAAGTAACCAACGATGTCATTGTTACAGGTGAAATTGTCGAGGGAAAACCTAGAGCCTCCGTTGTTACCTGGTCCCTGTAATAGCTTTGGAGCCTCGTCAAGTCGTCCTTGAGGGCACAGTGGTCGGCGATTTGCGAGTTTCTGTTTACAAATAGGAAGGATAGAGTTGAGAATGGGAAAGCGGGAATTGTCATCAGGTAGTTGGCGGTGGGAGGGAGGGACTGATTTTGGAGCAGCTGAGCAAACTGTTGCCATGGAGTGAATCTGCCTAGGTCTCCACGCCTGAACAGGAGAAAAGATTCATGAACAGAACAAGAAAGCCATAGAAAAATGCTGGTACATCAGTGGATTTTGTTGATTCCAAATTTTGGGATCGAATGCTTAATTCATTGTCGTCCACCCTTGTATCTAGTTTTTGTCTTCATTCTGCATTAATCCTTTCTGTCAACAAGTGAACTGAACAACTCTTATCCAACTTTTTAGGCAAATTTCTTAAATTACCCTTTAATTGATTAACTCTATTCTTATCATTTACATATAATAAAATATCCTTAAATTTTCTGATAATTGTCTAAAACCAATCGTCTGCTAACTTTTCACCCGTACATTACATCATTTGATTGATATATTCTTCAAAAATTCTTAAAATACTTTTTACCATGTTTTGCATTGATTTTTGAGTCTTTTTCCCTATTAGGCGAACGCTTTACTGTTTAGCGGATTGTAAAATCAGTGATGAGGTTCATGCTAGTATTAAATTCATGGGCCCCATAGTAAAAGATGTGGGCTCCATGTATTTAAAACACTGACGTGGAACTTATCATTGGTTTCATAGCCCACTAAACAGCTAAAGTGTTCAGGTAATCCGAATTCACTGGGGAGGCGTAGGTTATGTACCTTTGGTTCTACCCATCTCCCCGCTCCATTCCTCTCTCTCTAATCGGGGAGTTATAGATTACTCACCAAGTCATCAGTCGTTTTTGCTATGTTTCAAAGATATAGTTGTCAATTGTTAGAAAGAATCAGGAAAAGGAATGAAGGAGAATATTTCTTATTAATAAAAACATTTCTTATTAATAAAAACATTTATTAAGAAATGTTTTACATTTCATTTACTTCTCAAATGTTTTTGACAAAAATCAGTACATTTTCATTTTTGGTGTTCTGTCTTTTTTAAATATTTAATGTTCAATTATGACATCATGGATTTCTTTGAAAAGTTGGATCATTGACCCACCATCTAGATAATAAATTAGCTTTGCTTTCGGATTTGTTTTAAATTAGAGAAAATTAGAATTAGAGTTGGCTATACATTTAAAATTAGGCTACAAGTTGGTCCAAAAACCAACAAAACTCTAACAATTGGCTCTACATTTCAAATTATAAAAACACATGCCATGTATCACAAGGCTTATGTGGCTATTGCCAACATGGGACAACATATGTTGAACACAACAAAAAGCTTATACTAAAATTTACCTTTAATGTTGGGTGATTGGAAAATTAAAAAAATAGGTTTTTTAATTTATCTCACGCTCCCTCCCTCCCTCCCTCCCAGTTGTCTCTCTCTGTTCAACGAATGTGTCATTTGAAAATAAATAAAAATGGTTTTTGGTTTCTGTATTTATGTTCTTTCTATCAATTTCTCTTATTCTCTCTCTACTTATTGCTCTCCTTCAATCTTTCTCATTCTCTTTCTCTCCGGTCCCTCTCTCGTTATTTTTCTTACACACTTGAATGGTATTAATTAGATCGCATAAAGAACATGAGACCAATTTGGTATGGTTCAAAAATCATTACACCAATTTGATAAAAATTCATAAGAAACTCCTGATTATGAAATTTACACCAACTTGATAGAAATTTATAACTTCATTGTACAAGTGGTTGGTCTTTTAGTTCTTTTATACGGTCTAATTAATATTGTGTAAGTTTGTAAGAAAAATAAAGGGTAAATTACAAAGACCCCCTTGTACTATGGGGTCTGTGACAAAGACCCCCCCTATACTATAACCATGAGATAAAGACCCCCTTCCGTTAGTTTTTTGTTGAAATCCGCCCTAGTATTATATTTTAACCCCCATACTACCCTTATAATAAGGACAATTAAGAGAAAAACATTGTTCATATTCCTAGCCTCACGATACACAAATAGTGGTGGTAACCCCTTCCACCTCAGATTCCTTCACATTTCTCTCTCTCCTTCTCTCTTACTCTCTCTCTCTTTCCCGATTTCTCTTCTTCCTCTTCCCCTTTCTCTCCTCCCCTTTCTGCTTTGCCTTCCCCTTTCTCTTCTCTTTCATTAATGCACAGGCTGCTTTCAACAATAGCAGCTCAATTCCAAGACCGTGAGCAAGAAGACTGTTCTCCTGCAACTGAAGTTGAGGTAGTGATTTGTTGTCACCAACTGTTTCTCAACAGACAGCAGCAAAGTTGACGCCTGGCGCTGGGGTAGCGAGGAAATAGCAGTGGGGATGTATGGATTTGCAGCGATCAAAAGCTTTGCGGTGGCCAATCTGTCAATTAGCTTTCTGGTGTTCTTCCTCTGTCGCTGGCCAATCTCAATAGCCTCTCCGAGCTCTACCTTTCCACTAATGCCTTAACCGGTGAGCTACACCCACATCTGTTCTCCAACTGGACAAGACTAACCAACCTAGACCATTTTCCACATGAATTACAACAACTTCTCTGGCCACTTACCACAACAACTCTGCAAAAATGGTTTGCTTGTAAATTTCACTGCAGCAAGCAACAATTTCACAAGCCCCATACCAGAGGGCTTAAGAAACTATCCAACCTTGTATAGATTCCGGCTCGAAGGAAACCAACTCACAGGAAGTATAGACCGCGACCTTGGAGTGTATCCAAACCTTGATTATATTGACTTGAGCAACAATAAGTTGAATGGGGAGCTCTCACCGAGTTGGGGAAGGTGCCGGAACCTGACTACAGTAAAACTTGCCGGAAACAATATTCAGGGTACTATACCGGTTGAGCTTGACCAGTTAACTAAACTGGGAGTACTTGACCTCTCATCAAACCAACTTGTTAGAGAGATACCGAAGCAAGTGGTACGACTGTCTTCTCTGATTAGCCTAAGCTTGAAAGATAACCATCTTTCTGGCCAGATACCATTTGAAATTGGAGAACTATCCAATCTAAATTTTTTGGACATCTCGATGAACATGTTAAGTGGACCAATCCCAGAGCAATTAAGAGACTGCTCCAAATTGCAGCATTTGAGCTTGAGCAAGAACCTTTTTAATGGAACCATCCCATATACGATAGGGAATCTTGTAGAGCTTCAGGAGTTACGGGATCTCAGTGAAAATTCACTTACTGGAGAGATACCATCACAGTTCAAAAAGCTGACCAAGTTAGTGAACCTGAATCACTCCCACAATAAGCTCACAGGTGTCATTCCCTTTTCATTGAGTGAGATGGCCAGCTTGATGTTGATCGACTTATCCTACAACAGTTTGGAGGGTCCTCTGCCAAACAAAAGAGCTTTTCAACAATCTCCACCAGCAGCATTTGCTAACAATAGAGGTTTATGTTGTGAATCCTGTGGCATGCAAGCATGCAACCTATCTTCTACAGAAGAACCAATTTCAAATTTGTGATTGTTATTGTTGCCTCCTGTTCCGTGGCACTATTTTTTCTAGTTCTATTCATCGGGTTCTTCTCTAGTTTTTGCCAGAAAAGTTCAAAAAGTGAGATGACAGAAGCAAGTGTTGCAGGAAGTGGACATATATTTTTTGTATGGAATTATGATGCGAGGATAATGCACGAGCAAAGGACCACGTCGGAGATAGGCATAGCAAAGCCGTGGACCGCAACGCTTTTGATCTTTGCAAATCTATACATCCCCACTGCTATTTCCTCACTACCCCAGCCCCAAGCATCAACTTTATTGTTGTCTGCTGAGAAGCGGTTGGTGACAACAGATCACTACCTCAACTTCCGTCGCAGGAGAACAATCTTGTTGCTCATGATCCTGGAATTGGGTTGTTGTTGTTGAAAGCAGCCTGGGCGTTAATGAAAGAGAAGAGAAAGGGGAAAGGGAAGAAGAGAAATCGGGGGAGAGAGAGAGAGGGAGAGAGAAGGAGAGAGAGAAAAATGTGAAGGAATCTAAGGTGGAAGGGATTACCACCACTGTTCATGTATTGTGAGGTCAGGGAAGATGAACAGTGTTTTTCTTCCAATTGTCCTTATTATAAGGGTAGTATGGGTATTAAAAAATATTGTAATGGCGGATTTCAATGGAAAGCTGACGGAATGGGGTCTTTGTCTCACGGTCATAGTACAGGGGGTCTTTGTAATTTACCCAAAAAAAAAAAGAATGAAAGAGGGAGTGGGAGAAAGACTAAGGGAGAATAATAGATTAAGAGAGAGAGAGAGAGAGAGGTTTTGATTTAGCTATAAATTGAAGTTGAGAAAGTGGGAGAAATGGAGGGAGCAGGAGATGGAGAGATGACTATGAGAGCGAGAGAGAAGGGAGGGAGATCAAGAGACAAAGGGAGTGAGAGAAACTAAAAACCTATTTTCAGTATATTATTTTTGTTGTGTCTAACATGGATTAAGAGTCCCATGTTGGCAAGCCTTTGCTGACATGGTGGGGCTTTTATAATTTGAAATATAGAGCTGGTTGTCAAAGCTTTGTTGATTTCTGGACAAACCTGCAACCTAATTTTAAATGTACAACCGGCTTTGACTATAATTTTCCCTTTAAATTAAATGTTTCAATTATATTATATAAAATAATATTTACTTATCACACTTAATTTTTGTTTGTCTATGATATCATTTGACCCAAACCACTAACCCACCACCCAAAAAGAAAAATAGTTTGATTTCTAGATTGTCATTAAATTTTGTATTACATTTTCATCATTGATAAAATTATTTCTTATGTATAATACTTATTTTTGTTAAATATAATGAATGCATAATATTAGAGATGTACCCAATATTTTATGTTTTATAAATATATAACATTAGATATGTGCCCAAATTTTTCTATATCTTTTTTTTTTTGTGATTCTTTGTATTTTCAATTTTAAAAAATTTTACTATTTGACTATGGCACCATTTAATTTCTAGGTAGATTTTAAATTTGGCATTCCATTTTCATCATTAACAAAAGTACTTCTTACATTTCATACTTATTTATTTTATTTTTAATTATTTAATTATGGCATTATTTATTAATCCATTTAATCCCAAATGGTCGAATTGCTTGCCTACCACTGGGA